GAATTCTTGTTTTATCGATATTTATGGTGAGTTTTGATGTATTTCTTGGAAACTATTCACGTAATTATTTGTTTTATTTTTTCCTTTTTCCATTGCTTTTCTATTTTGTTTTTTAAACTATTTTTTCACTTCAATCTATATCTTATATTCTTCTTTATCATATCTTCTTCTTTTTGTTTTACTTTTTCTTTTCTTTTGCAATTTTATATGTTTTCGCTCTAACTTTTTTCTTTTTCTGTGCAATCAATCTGCTTTAATTCATCAAAATAATGCCTTACAGAAGATTAAACTTATGTCATCGTACTGACAGAATGGAAGCAACACGACGTATCAAACTGTGGAAGAATGGGCATCAGGAAAGAGACAAAGAATGGCTCACATACGTGCTGAGAAAACAGAAGAGTGACGTGCAACCAAACTTGAGAATGTACGATTGAGAACATGACGATTGCATTCTGCAGTTTCAGATCTGGTTCGTTCTTAATAAAATGAACGCGATAGACTGAGAATGGCTGAAAGATGTCAACAAGAAACATCAGATAAGCATCAAACACGATTCCGTACTCAGCAATCACGCGATTATAATCGCTTTGCATTCCGGTATAACCCAGCTGATGATTATAGTTTGAGCCGGCAATGTTCTTATCGGTACTATCATTGAAGTATGTAATGATTGCAAGGTGCTGAAATTTAATGGAGAAGTATCGGCAAACTGAATTTTTGCATTTTCAAATTCATGCTAATGAAAGTAATGTAGCTTCTTCTTTAGATGAGTAATCCTTCAATGGATACAATGAAATCTCTTAATTAAATCATTTAATAGTGAAAATCAAAAATCAAATACTTGATGCGAATTGAGCACAATTGATTTATTAGTCTATCTCCCTTTTCCTTTCCTCTTAATGAAAGTTTAGCGGTGTACTTGTTTAATTAACTTGCTGTCATTAATTTTTGGATAATAATTCGAAAGTATTCGATGATACATCACAGTTGATGAGTTGGAGTTGGAAATAAAATTGTGCGCTAACAAATTTTTGAATAGCAAAATTCCCTAAAGTTTGGAAGGAATTCAAAAATGAATCATTTCCAAGACTCGTTCCGAAATTTTCATAAAATTCAAAATGTTTGAAGAAGTACAGTTCTTCTTCCTTTTGCAACAATTTGCAAATTGTTTTTTCTCTGCCCCCGTGGATTATCTTCCCTTTTCCACTAGTTGACAAATAAGATACTAATTAATTAACAAACAGGATACTAATTAGTCATAAATAATATTGAAGTACTCACTCTTCACAAAATATGCATAAAGTAAAGTATGTTAATTAAGCATTATTAATATCAAGGGAAAAAGTTTGATTTATTATGGACAAACCTAAAAGTTGGAATAATCTGGGTATGTTATAAGTAAGTCTAAAAGTTGGAATTATTCCAGGTATGTTATGGGTAAGTCTAAAAGTTGGAATTATTCCGGGTATGTTATGGGTAAGTCTAAAAGTCGGAATTATTCCGGGTATGTTATGGGTAAGTCTAAAAGTCGGAATGATTACCCTGGATTTGTTATGGATAAGTCTAAAAGTCCTTATTGCTTGATTAATGAAAACTGTTAGTAGAACTGTTAGTATTATCTCTAAGGCAGTTCTCATAGTCCTAGGCACCAAATAACATGAACAACAGAGGCAAAGAGAAAAGGGAAAAAGAGGGAGGAATGATCAAAGGGGATAGTGGAAAAGACAACCAATGAGAAAGAGAAACAGAGAGGTGTAGTAGTAAATGGCGGTGATATTAGAATCAATAGTAGCAGTAGCAGTAGTAGCAGTAGTAGTAGTAGTAGTGGTAGTAGTAGTAGTAGTAGTAGCAGTAGTAGTAGTAGTAGTAGTAGTAGTAGTAGTAGTAGTAGTAGTAGTAGTAGTAGTAGTAGTAGTAGTAGTAGTAGTAGTAGTAG